TCTGCTTATTCCAACATATGCGCCTCTGCACTGTGATCCCGTGAAGTAGAAGCTAACAATCGCGCAGCCATGCAAAAGCGCACTGCATCATGAAGGTCCTCAAGGGAGGCCTCACTGAGACCCGATTCGCCACTCCCACCGATGAGGACGTCGAGAACCAACGCCCTATGACGAAGATCCATGAGATTACCTATAAGGAGAATGAGGTCACGTATATGGCGGACACCCTTGGCGTGCATTGCATCTCGAACCCACACCCTACAGAGTACGCGGTATCAGTACATTGTATGCACCTTCTCTCATGCTTATATAGCTGTCCTTCGCTAACCACAGGTAGTGTATACTCCGCCCAACGCGGAGACATACGGATGCAATGTCTTCGTAGAAGACACTTCTAGTTTTGTATTCAACTCGCAATGCAAGTTCTATTCCGAGTATGGCGTCAAGGTAAACAAGAGAGAGCATTAAGCGGTATCGTGCATGCGTGCGAGGATAATTGACAGAACACGATGGGTAATTTTTCACGGAATCAAAGGCGTTGTCGGATAGAAGAGTAGTTGACTCAAGGAGGGCCAGGTTTTCATTTAGCAACGCTGTCACTTCTTTCCATTTACACGAATTCAACATCGCCTCCAACATGCACGCCTCACAAACAGCGAGGCAAACCAAAGCTACTCACTGATGGTATACCACACCTCTCGCCTATCAGGCGCAGACACCAATCTTCGCATACATGATCATCAGCAAGTATAGAAAGAAGAAACCCCGCCTTTTGCACAACCATCTATCTACAAGCAGAAGCACCACAGCCCTATATGCCATCCTTTTCTACTTCCTCTTACTTGACTACGGCCCCGGGAACCCAATTTCCTCCCTCCTATCATCCACTACCCGCCCATACTCTAACAACAATCTGAAAAACCAGACCTCAAAGTCTACATTTCTCAACACTCTGTCATGCCACTCAGAACTCCTTTTCGCAATAACCCTCGCCTTCCTCTCCCCCTCACTATCGCCATTGCCGCCCTTCTTTCCTCCATCAGCATCACTTCTCTCCGCCTTCCCATCACCATCGTCATCAAACACTTTCGCTCCCGAAAACCATCTCACAAGATCGAGATGTTCGTCGCCGCGGAGAGATAGAGGGATGTAATGAACCCAAGGCCGTAGCCACTCTGCATGCCATTCACGGAACAACGCCATTTTGTAGGTTAAAGACCGGCTTTTAAGAAAGCTGTAGAACCGACCCGAAAAGGCATTGCCGTCCATGTCGAGGAGATGCTTGTAGTACCATGCATCCTGTCCGTCGACGCGTTCGGTCACGTCGAAGAATTCTTGTTGTGCATCGCAGTCACCTGGGTCGCATTGGCCAATGTGGGAGAAGTGGACGTCGATGAGGTTTTTGAGGGCGCGGCGGTCGATTTCCGTCACTGCGTAGGAGGTGGAGGGGCTGTTCGCAGCGGATGACGTGGAGACAGGTTCGAGAATTTTGGCGGTGTCTGGAGCGTTGAGGCGTTGGACTACGTGTTGGCGATGTTGACGTCGCCAGCCGCCGTTGCGGCTGAAGCCTCCTGTTGTGGAGCCGCGCCAGTAAAGACTGTTTGTCTTGTTCTCCCATGTCGTGTCGTGGGTCTCATCGTAGCCTACTTTGCCTATCCAGTACCAAGGACTTGGATACAGGATGTCTTGGAAGCTGGAGATCTTCGATTGCGAGAAAATGGGTGTGAGTTCGTGGATGATGCTGAAGGCATTGGGTCGTTCGAAGAATCCGTATGTTGAGGAGAATGAAGGGGAGTTACAGATATCAGAAAAGGCAGTCGCGTTGTAGATAAAGCCAAGGTCGCTGGTAGCATACGCCGTGAGATTGTCGGCGGCGTAGTCTTCGAAAGTCTGGGCCTGACTTCCAGGAGAACATGATAACCGCGAATGGGTCCATGTCTGCTGATGCGCAAAGCGATTGAACTTGGTCGTACTAACTTCGGCAAATCGTGTGCCGTCACTGAGGTCTTCGGGACGAGTTGAAAAGGCATTGCGTGGGGTAGTGTTCTTCGCAGTGCGAGGTAGGATCTCATCTCTCACCTTTGCCACCATCGATGACATGAGATTGTTGGGTACGATAACTCGCGGTTCGTCATGTAAGTTGAATCCTAGATCCATATCAGGCAGATATTGCACAAATTGTTTCATCATGCCAATCGTAGCTTGTTGTTGCCATTCGTCGCCACCTTGAAAGTTCTCTATAGCCCCATGACGTACCGCAATCGCAAGCAGTGAGCTATCCTCGTGGCCTAATGCGTTCGCGATGCGCGAGCGGATGGTGGACGGCTTGAGTGCCCAGAACGGTAGCAGCATCTCATTGATGGTGTCGTACTCATCTATCATGACGACTCCATTCCGTGTCGCGAATTCGTACCACTTATCAAAGTGAGGAGGAGGCGGTATTCCATTTCTGCGGCGGTATTCGCGAACTGCATCGGTAAGGGACTTTGATTGCCGGTTGAGGGTGCTTTGGAAATCTGCCTCTGCAGCGTCGATCAATTGCGCAGCCGGATGACCTTTGCTTGCATCTATCGGCATTGGACCAAGTGGTTTCTCAGGTGGGTAAAACGGAATGTTAGTGACTACACCATCAGCGACAGGTCGATAAGTTTGTGGTCCATTCAAACGTCCAAGAAGTAAAGATCCAACTGCAAACGCCAGGACTACGAAGATGAAGCGTCGTAATCGCATAGAGCGTCGTGTATCCATCATCAGGGGGGAATCAGGCGACTCGAAGAAGTATACCAGTGCTGCCACACCGTAGATGGACGTAAACAAAATGGTGGAAAAAGTCGGTGCAAAGTGTAGTTTCGCAGCAAGATGTGAAAACACGGCCAACAGAGATGTATGTACAGCGCCGTATTGGGAGATCTACCACCGAGTTAGTTTAATTTATTAGCAACGCGCTGAGAATAAAAGCTACATCTTTAGCTCTAAAATTTGAAAGCAGAGGCTAGGTGAAAATCGGAGAGAAGTGCAAGAGCAGGTATAGTAGGCCGGGCTCATGTTCAGTAATAGCAGAGAGGTACGAGAAGATCTCAACAGCTGATAAGAAGCTCATACGTACCAGAACAAAGACAAGAACATTTACAATGGATTGAACGGGCAACATCCAGAGGAATCGCATGAGGATGCGGAGATTATGCACATCCCTCCATTCTCGGTCATACTCTCTGTATACAGGCTCCCAAGAGATTGTACTTGCGGTCAATGAAGATTCGGTAAGGATAGATGCGATGCCGCACACGACAGCAATGGCCACGGCGAGGTCTCTAAGCGCAGCGAGTCGCTGCGCCCTCAAACTGCCGCTTATTGAGGCGCGCCTCAGGATATTTCCATTCGCAGACATAGGCCCACGCCGGCTACCATCGCTCTCCTCTGTGGCGGCTCTTATTGTGGACTCGAACAGGACGAGGCCTGTGGCAGCAAAGATGGCACTACTGAGACCGAGCGAGACAGTCGTGGGAACCGTGTAGACGCCAAGAACAACGCTCGCAGATACCGTCAGAACTGCCAGTATTCCATGTGATTCGTTATGAAGCTGTCGGTCCGGAGAGGTCTTGGTCTCGGCTGCAGGGCCATCGAGGATGGTGAATGTGGGTAGGACGAGATGCTTTGCGAGCAGTTCATTCTCGGAGAAGAGGACGGTAAAGAGAGGTACAAGGGCCTATGGGTACAGTTAGACGTGTGTGATGATGATACTCCTCGCTGAAAGTACCTTTGTCGCCCAAATGCCCTGCTTGTCGCATGCCGCGCGGTCGCATATTGCAGACAGGCCTAGCAGAGCGCCAGCAAGCCAGCTCGTCTTCCGCTTGGCTCTATCGCTGTTTGAATATATCCCCACCCAGAACACCGTCGGTACCCATACTATGAGCCATGATATCGTCGTTATGAGAAGCGAATGCTGGACCGGCGTGTGGACGTTTGCGACGGCCGCGAGGACGGTGTAGAGCAGCGGGGCAAGCAGGTGGTGGTATTTGACGACATTATCGGCAAGTATGGAGACGGCCGGGTGCATTGGAGCAGAAGGTGGGTCAGCGCTCGTCGGAGGGCATCGAGTTGTCTGGCATGTGTTGAATCGCAATGTTGTAAGGGCCGATGAAGCCGCACCGTGCGGATCTGCAGGGTCGTGAGTGACGCCATGCCCTTCAAGCCACATATATTCCCATCCCCACAACATTTCAACACCACCATGATTGAGCGATATCTTTTACTCAGCCTGCACGCTATCATCAAGAACGCGTCTACCAGATCCGTGACACACTCGGATGGACCTCTTTTGCACAATCCTGCATATGCTTCCTGCACCCTGCACGTTGCACGTTACACAGCGGCACGCAACAGAAAATAACTCCGGAAATATTTGAGTGCTACAATGGACTAGAGACAAGACCTTCAGCTCTCTCGGGTAGTTTCGTAGGATTGTTGGTCTCTGAACATATCACGGTAGGTAAAGCCTCGACCTTTAGTCAAGCGCTACCTGGCTCTTTGTACTGTTTGCTACGTTCGACTGTTGGTTGATCTCCGTCTCGCGTATTACTGCGTAGGCTGCCACCTTGTTTCAATCTTGAAGGCACGATGCTGAGTGACACGTACAATCAGAAAGGACTACAAGTTGCCAATTCTTTAACACGCAATCAATTGATAACAGCCAACTTCAAGACTTGCATCACCATAAGGTGGACACTGTAAATTACCTGGAAGTCTACCTGAATAGGTCATCTCTCACCTTCACTTCACCTCCTACGCCGCTTCCCTTTCTGCAACGAGCTCGGGCAAAACTTTCAGATAGCGGTTGCACATGGAGGAAGGAACGGAGACACGCGTCATCTCGTGACTTCGTGTTCACGGAAGGCACCATGACCGCTCTCGTACAAACACCATCTATCACCTTCTTCGAGTTCCCTTAATCATAACCGCCACAGCTGAAGCTTCGATACGCGAAATCCGCTAGAGCGACAATGGAGCCTCCGCCAGATGGCACACACTGCCACATACTGCGCTTGCCGTACGAGATGCTCAAGCACATTTTGGCTGAAGTAAGTGTCTCTGGCTCATTTGCCCTTCTATGCTGATGCGTCAATTGCAGTTAGTCCAGTGCGATCAGCTCAGCATAGCGAAGACGTGCATACACCTCTTGGAAATTGCATACCCGGTGGCTTATCATCACATCTTTATTAAAACTGATCCGGTCACGGCAATGACCACTTGGAAAAACCTTGCTTCTGGCAACGGTCTACGACATGTTCGGCATCTCCAAGTTCATGATTCAGGACAGTCAACTGCAAATGCTAGGAAGCGGCATCATGTCGGAGATGTGGTTACTGGTATTCTTCTTGCAGCTCTGCGCCGGCATCAGTTGCTGTCCTTTAGGTACAAAGTTAGCACCACACTATAGATGCTGCTAACATTCCCATAGTCTAACACACCCTGTCGTTGCCTCATCCATGGTGTCCACAAGAAACCTGGTCATACTGATGGAAACTCAGCAACACCTTGCACAAGTAAGCTTACCAAGTTTCATGCGATCCAACGATATCAGCATTGCCAATTTTCTTCCGGTGAATTTACAATTTCGCAGCCTTCGCAACATTACGTTAGAGCTGCCTATCAGTAGTAGCGTCGATGACATGAGCAGTGTTATTGTTGAGAAATCACCCAGCCTGGAGAGTATCCATCTTTGGTTCTCAGCCCAAGGTAACGAGCTTTCGCCCCATGTCTTCACAGTACCTAGAGGTGAGCCATCTTCTCGGGGCATCTTATTCTCCATGGCTACCAGGCTTACTATTCTTGGCTACGATTTCAAACATCTCCCCAAGCTGGTGGGTCTGCCCTTGTTTCCTGCGCTCCGCGCTCTTGCAATGATTGACTGCAAGAACGACGTTTATCTCCACGTTCGCACCAAACCAGGAAGGCTTCCGAAGCTACGAGCATTAATGATCACAAGCGCCAATTACATACCCGGAGATGACATTATTCGCTTAATTGGAGGAACAAGCTGCTTGCGAGAACTCATTGTGTACGGGCCAAACTTGTACTTTGTGGATTGCTCGAGCCTCCGCTCACACGCGCAGAGTCTTGAACTCCTCTTCTTCGGTATACGGGGCACCTCGCTTTCCAGTCTGGAAGCACTGACAGCTCTGCGTCACTTGGGTGTTTCCATGAATGACCTCTATTATTGGAAGTCAACCAGGTTTTGTATTGAGAGCAAGAAACGGCTCACTAAAGTCTTTGTGTGTTCACTTCCACCAATTTTCGTCATTGTCTTGACTGATTCAAGAGACTAGGCAAACTTTGCGAGTCACAAGAAGCTACTGTCACTGACTTTGCGGTGTACCATCGACTTCCTTCCTAACGAAGAGGAGACAAGCCTACCGCTAGGTATTGGGCATTTCGAGGCGTTGATAAGAGATACACTTCTTTCGTACATCACGGAAATGGGCTCCACGATCGACGATAGTATCCTTGAGTATCTAGGTGTTGTCGTCAACGTCACAGCCTATACTCTTGATCTACCTGCCAAAGCTCCCGAAGGCCCCAACCAAGCCCTAGAGCGCCTGAAAAAAGTGCTATGTCTCCGACCAAAACAGGTGCTTCGACTAGCAGACTTGGCCATGGAGGAGATGATGGCGCGATATGCCAAGGACGATTACTACTTTCTTGAGGCCTATATCGACACTATGACCAAAGCAAGTCGCGTCGGGATCTCTAGTGGCTCAAAATTTGTTGCCTATAATTAACCGTGGTTTAACGCCCTATCGATCACCTCCCGTGGGGTGTTCGCAAGTTGTTGCATATGTATGACGAGATGATACTATATCGAGGCAAGGCGGGATAAGACGAAGAAGGCTCTCCTTCTGGGAAGTACCCAGAGTACATACATAGATTATGGCGAACCATGTATAGTTCTCTGAACGAAGCTCCTCGATCGCTTCATGATGCCCCTCCAGCGTCAGTCTCACGAAACCGCAGATCATCTGTCGTCATACCTTCCCAAACCAACCTCCCACCTCCCACCCCAAACATCACGATCTGAACCCGCCCACACCAACACCAAATCAACCCACAACGAACCACGCGTCCTCGCATCCTCACTTATCACGATACCCCACTTCCAGCCTCTTCATACCCCACCTGCCCAGCCAACAAAGTCCTCACGCGCCCACCAGCTATCCGGATCGAAGATCCTCATCTCCACACGTATACAACTGAAACGCGCTCACGTTACCCATACAGGAAGCCGGCGATGCTGTAGACCCGCCTTGCTTAACATTCACGACTTTGTGAGGCTCGCTTACACAGTAGGATTTGTGATCGTCAAGAGATCTACCCGATTTAACGCGCCGTTGGTGGAGGAACCGGGACGGAAGGACAGATGAGATGTTGGGTGGTACGTCAGCTGCTTGTATCCTGATTGTACATATAAAGCAGGTCAACGAAGTCCGAGTGGCGGAAATCCAGATTGTTACGCTCGCTGTACTTTGCTCCTAACAAAATGTCACGATGGTTTGTTATTGTAGTCCGGATAGTATAGGACAGCGGGGTAACGTACCCGACGGCCACCCGCTACCTACCCTGACATGATGTCGAACCTACGTAACATGTTCTCTTCCATACAAACCTCTAAGGCCTCCTACATTGCACATGCTCAGAGTAGAGAAAGCCAAACCACCCCAACCCATCTGGACCAGCCAACCAAAACATCGCGTATAGCGAAGCTAGGCGTTGAACTAACAACAAACCCGGCGCCCCGGATCTTGGATTCCAAGCTAGCCATGAGCTGAGGAAGGTAAAGCACGTTTTGTTTTGGACCGTGTTCATCAGCCCACCCGCCTCAGCTCTCAGCTCAATCTCGGCGAGATGTTTAAGGCCTTCCAGCGGTACGCGATACTCAACAAGATGCTAAAAGGACCGTTTTCCCCTCTCCCCTTCCCCCCGCTTTCCTCTTGTCTTTCAATCTATCAAGGTTTGGTATATATATTGGAATCTCTCGTCAGCTTTGGGTTTCGGGCGTTCACAATACCGGTCCGCAATAAGAAGCACATCGAATCCTCACTCACGGCATAGCCAATGTTGGTCTTGTTTCCTTGGACTGAAATGTTTGTTTGGCATTCAATCTTGATTCCTCCTCTCTCAAGTTATTTCAAAGGTTTCTCCACAGCCGAATATACAAGAGATGGCTGAACCATACACATGGAAGTCCTCTCCCCTCCCCCATCCATCCAGGCCACGCTGTCCAGCGCAACCACGTTGGATACGAGACACCCTGGTCGTCGTCGAGAAAGTTGTTGGCAAAGTTATATGGGTTTCTGTTAAAATAGGCTGAAGGTTGTTTGAAGAGATAAAAGAAAAGGCAAGAGACGATAAATCGAAAAGAGAAACTCCGGGATATTTGTTGCATGTGCTAGGCTCTCGACGCAAAGCGAAAAGACGTCCAGTTTCGGATATGATGACCTGAACTTCAACCTCAAGGGCGTCGTCGACTGTGGGTGTTGAGATGGTCGACGGCCCTCTCCTCGGTGTCCAGGCTGGGTCTTTCTTCCTTCGCGGAGATAGATTGCTAATAGCTGGTATATTTGGTTTGTGGTACAGAGCCGGATTGAACGGTGGAAAGATAAGATGATGATGAAAAAAAAATGGCAAGAGAGAGGTCGGGACGTCGTGAAGGAGGCATGAAGGGCGAGCGCAGACGGCTTCTATTCCTCCATCCTTCCGAAAATCTCGTCGTCGTCCTCATCGATGCGGCCGCGGCTGCGCGAGTTGGAGTAGCGGTAGTCCTCCTCATCGGCGAAGTGGTCGTCGTCCATGTCGACGTCCTTGCTCTCGCTGTTATGGCGGTAGCTGTTGCGTATGCTCGACTGCTGCGCTTGGACGGTGGTGCTACCGGACAAGGTACGGGCGTTCAAGTCAAAATACTTTGCTGGTAGGGGTGGCACGGGCGGCACGTCCGGCGGGAGCGCAGTTGGTCCCGTCTTGGGAGTGCCGTAGGAGCAGCTCAACAAACCAACTGCGGCAGCAAGGTCGGCATGGTCATTGCCATCATCGTGATATGAGCCGGCAACCGAGGTACCTGACGTGGTGGGGCGGTCAGACACGTTGCTCCACTGGCGGAAGTGGCCATTCCCGTTGTCGGAAAAGACGGTCGACTGGTAGGATTGGCTGTAGGCAGAGCTGTTGGCGGAGTAACGCTTGATGGAGCGGGTGCCAAAATGCGAGTGAGGGTAAGAGCCTACGGCATGGTCGTCGAGTTGTGGGGGCGGGGTAGTTTCAGTGGAGCTCAACTCCTCACGCAGGTCGGACGAGCCCGAGGCCGGAGGAGACGAGCGGTCGCTGTTTTCGCCGTCGCTCTCCTTGTTCATGGCGACGAGGACAGAGGCAGCTTCGAGGAGCTGCACCTGCTGGTGCTTGGAGATGAGCAGCTTAGATGTGTATTGCCATTCAGGCGTGTGCTCCCAACTAGAAGAAAAGTCAACGCGGAACTATCATGAAGCATTGCAGTCTAAGTGTGCGTGCGAGTGAGGAAAGGGCATTCGTCATGAGGCATGAAAGTATGTGGGAGGGCCATCTACGGCTTAGGGTTACTAACAGGTGCTTGGTCAGACAGCTGCTGTGCTTGTAGCCTTTCCCACATTTTTCACATCTCAGATCGCTACCACTTCGCTTGCCGTCGCCCTTGGACAGACGAGAGCCCTCGCTCGCGCGACGGTTCCGCGACTTGGAGTTGGCCTTGTCCTGTTCCAGCATCGTTGCGAGTGTCGGGCCGTCTGTCAGAGCCTCGCTCTTGGCCGCCGCCGCGCCATAACTGCTGGGACCGAAGTGCGAGCCATTGCCAGGCATACTCGATGCCATTGTTGAGTTGAGTGCCATGTTGGGTCCCCTGAACTGCGATGTCGGCTTGGATGGGCGGCGCGATCCGTTACTACTACTATCCAGGGGCGCCCCCGACATGCCCTTGGCTGCAGCCGCAATGGCCGCAACATTGGTGACGGGTGTCTGGCTCATGCTCTTCCTACGTGTTACGCGATGCGCTGGGTTCAGGTTGCCGGCGGATATCGAGTGCGAGTGTGGGCGGTTCTTGGGGAGTGAGCCGGCCATGGTGCTAGACGAGTGTCGTTGTTGGCTGGCTGGTCGGACGTTGATGGGTTCCTGGCAGGCGGCACGGTCAGCGCAACTCGGGGGGCATGCAATTGCTGGGAAGCAGTATAGGTACCTTGAGGACAGTCATGATTGCTACAAAATAGAAAAGTTGCCGGCCTCGGTGTTTGCTTTGTCTTCCAGCTTCGTCAGCAAGGCAGCGGGAATTGTTGCACAGCCTCCGAGGTGTCGGAGGTTATAAAGCGAGATGCGGCTGAGAGACAATGCAGGGCAGCGCAGGGGCGGGCGTGTAGAAATAATAATCCAAAATGTGTGCGAGAGGCGTCTGCTAGCTGAAGAGGCGCTCGATTCAAAAATAAAGCGTGTGGACAGGTCCCGGAATGCTATTCGACAAGTGGGGTGATGCCCGAGCTCCTGATATTGAGTTACTGTGTCCAACAGAGAGTCTCGATTGCGCAGCCTCAGAAAAGCGGCCAAATATCCCAGTTTCAGACCCGATAGCGGCAGCAACTAAGGTTGGGAAGAAGGAGTGAGAGTGAGATTATTGTTGCAGCAATTGCAGACGCCAGGAACTTTTTATTATTTGGTCGCAAACATGGCACGCGGCATCTGGGGTCAGCCGGACGCTCACAGCCCACGCCCGACCAACGTGACTGATAAGTAAACCCTGGCCGCCTCTCCCCCTCAAGGTACGCGGCAATGCCGTGGCTGAAGCGACAAACGAGGCCTCCCATGCTGCCACTTTCTATAAAGGCCGCACTGGTCCGTGGAGGGACATGGGACGCAGCATCTCCCTCGCGCTCTGATTGCATGTTTCAGCGATTGCACCTCTGACTCTGGCTGCTTCTCCTGCCTCTTGTGCGCGTCGCCGTGCAGAAATCCAGGAACCCTTTGTGCGTGTTCCTGGCGCAACGCAGGTTATCGAGGGAACATTCTTAGTGCGCCATCCAGAGTGCCTCCCCGCTTCTGTGATTCGAGCATGAATTGATGTCAAGACACTTGTTCCCGCAATAGGGAACGCCGATCCCCAACTACTTTGCCATGGCCGCTTGGGCCAGTCCGGTTCGGGCGGATCAAGGACACGGGGAACCGAGCGCTTGTCTGGAGAGCTGTGGCTAAGTCGAGCCGATCGCTGCTGCGTCGAGCAGAGCGCGCTACACAAGAGATCATCGCCTGCCAACATGTGTTTGCGCCATCCACACTCTCTCGTAACATCTGCATGGCGTTGAGCAGTTCTGCCATGCTACGGCAAAAATATTGTCAGACTCCACTCGAGCCCTCCTCATCGCCCTCGGATAACGAGACGTGCGCTTGGCGTCATCGCGATCGGTCGCACACACGGCGTCTGTGCTGCACATTATCGCGCAAGCCACCACCCTGTCGTCTTGTTCGCTGCTGTGGGGTCGCTACATGTTGAGTGGTGCGGCACCTGCACCACACAGTGAAAGACACATGACAAGCTGCCAGCCGTACAAAAAAACCGCGCGCTCCTGCAGAGCATGGCTGGACCATCCTGTCGTCCAACAAGTGCTGGGATCGGCCAAGATCAACAGGCCGAGATCGTGGCCTGTCGCAGGGATAGATAGAGTGCCACGATGACGGATAGCCGCTTGTAATGGCATTGTTGGTTGTCTTCGGAGTCCGGGCAGCAGAATGCCATACACGTGTGTTATCCACTTGTCGGTGTAGCCTACCAGCACCAATAACAACCTGCGGTAGACCAGCCGTTTGGCAGAACGCTATGGACTCTGCGTCTTTGGAATTGTGTAAGTTGGGCTTGTGTAAGACGTTCCGGTGGTTTGTTTATGCCTATGCAGGTGCTTGAGGGGTCAATTCGCGCCTGCCGATTCGGGAGTCCCGTGGCCTTGGAATAGCTTCATTGGCAGATTGCGCGCCTTAGCTGAGGGGTCGACGACGCCACCATCTGCATTCCCTCAGATTACCGTATCCATAATTGCGACATAGACAATTCCATCTTACACGTTGATCTTGACTGCAACTTTTCGACCTGCCGAGTAACAATTTCCGGTGTCTGTATGTAAAGTTATCTCTCAGTGAGGAGAATGGTCCACAGCGGCATAAACCTCCGCATCAACCAGGATTGAGCTTGTCTATTTCACGTGTCAAGACTTAGCCTCACCGTTCCTTGGAACAGATCCGCACAGCCCACTCTCACCGTCGTGGGCGAGTTCCGTCGGAAACCAAGTAGGTTTCAAATCGGTAATATGACGTCAGGCATTACTTGATCACAAAAAAAAAAGTCAAGTTGCTGCGTCGTAGGATGAGGCCTTACGGATGCCTGCGGAGCTACCTCTATAGCCGTATACCGGATGACAACGGCTGTCGTGATTTCTCACACGAGATACGTAACAGGGCTGGTGGTATGCTTGCATATTTTTGTCTTTTGCATAGCTGTGCATCGATAAGAAGGACAGGCGGTCAGGGTGTTAGTTGCTGCGAGTACAAGCAGTTGCACCCAGAAGCTATGCACGTTCCACACCACATAATTGCTCACTGTACAGCAATCTGAACAACTTTTGTTCACCACCTTGCAGAGTTGGCATTGTTGAGCGCGAGTGCACTCAAAGTCATAATGCATCTCGCATAGCAATGGATGTTATGCGAACCCTTCATGAGCAAGATATTGCCGAGACGCAAAAGCGACTGTTTTCCTTTTGATGCTTTGAGAACGAGTGCTGGTGGAAGCACAATGTCGGTATGTAAGACAACAGAGGTAGGATGTATCGGAATGCTTTTGGATGCCAAAGGCGTTCCGATCTTAGTAATCTGGTCACGTGCATGTGTTCGTCACTGCTCTCGGCCATGTACAAACCATCTGCCTGCAGCATCGCAACCGCACCATCACATCGTAAACAGAAGTCGCGCGTTACTTCGTACATCTAAGGAACCTCATCCGCCACTACATACCCTGCAAAATTCGAATCACTTCCCTCGCACGACTTCACCATGGCGGACGCTTCCGCGCAACCCAAGCCCAGCAGCAGCGTCAAGCTCGTGCTGCTAGGAGAAGCAGCTGTCGGAAAGGTATGGAGAATCGGAAGATAGCTGCGACTACCAGCTAACCATCTTCTAGTCTTCTCTCGTTATGCGCTTCGTCAACAACGACTTCCAAGAGAACAAGGAGCCTACTATCGGAGGTACGTACACAGCCACGCCAGACGATATCAATCTAGCAACCACCCACTTCATATCTCACCAAGTTAATACTAACAAGCCGCTCAATAGCCGCATTCCTGACGCAGAAATGCAACCTACCAACCCGAACCATCAAGTTTGAGATCTGGGATACCGCAGGCCAAGAACGCTTCGCCTCGCTCGCGCCCATGTACTACCGCAACGCCCAAGCCGCCCTCGTCGTCTACGACATCACAAAGCCCTCTTCCCTCACAAAAGCCCAGCATTGGGTCGCCGAACTGCACCGCCAAGCCTCCCCAGGCATCGTTATCGCACTCGTAGGAAACAAGTTCGATTTGGCCACCGCCGCCGAGGAAGAGAACGCCGAAGACGTAGATGCTGCCCCCGCAGCTGAGGGCGAAGAGGAGCCAACAGAAGACGGAGTCAGCTCGAGGAGAGTACCAAGTAAGACTGCAAAGGCATACGCAGATGAGGAGAGCTTGTTGTTCTTCGAGACTAGTGCGAAGACAGGGCATAACGTTGCCGAGGTATTTACTGCTATCGCAAATGCCATTCCGGAGACGAGCTTGAAGGGCCCTCGTGGTGTTGGGGGACAAACAAACTTGAACAGGCAGGAGGAGGCGCGTGTAAATCTAGGCAGTGCGCGGACGGAGGGTCCCAAAGAGGGTTGCGCATGCTGATGGGGTTGTATACAGGGTACGTCATGGTGTATGTGTGTGGCCATACTCTATGCGATGCAGGAGCTCGATAGCTACGACGTTATGCAGCCACTACTGATGAGTTCAACTCAGGGTTATCAATATTAGGCGTTGGATGGAACGATGAAGTTGTACATTGTCGTCAATACCATTGCTTCTACACTACGTGAGTCATTTGTTATGCTACAAGAAGCGTACTGGACAGTTTCCTATACGAGGTCAGTCGTACTCTCTTCTTGTCGGCCTCAACATAGAGCAAGAAGCAGTCGTCAAGCAAACGGTCTACCATATAGTCTCTCGCCCATGCTGCAAATACTGAGTCTGAATATAAGACTCGCTTGGTTCAACTACGATAGGATAAATTTCTCTGTCCAGGACGTCCATTTCGGGTTGGCCTACCTTGAACGATTACCCAAGAGCCTGCAAAAGGTCACTTTCCATGTCGATGAACAGGTTTTCTGCCGCTTTTACAGACGTAAAACTAGCATTCTACAGACAGAGCAATTTGTCAAAGGCGAACTGAGGCGTATCGCAATGACTTTTGTGAGCGATCCTGGAGCGTTATCTATGGAGTCGATGATATGTAGTGCTCATGGACTGGAAGCAGAGCCATGCTCAATTACCTCTGGTCACCAGTTCATGTGGATACTCACGGTGACCGCTGCTGCTTACGGACAGGCGAATAACTTTGAAATCCAGTAAGGATTATACGGCAAGATATGCAGTTGGCAGCAGAGTCCTGTCTCTTTCCATGAGGCTTCAAGCATCTTAGCTCAATAGGAATAGGAGACTGATTAGCATGACCATCGCCTTAGTCTCTCGTGGCTTGCCAGATACATGCTTCTTACTGCACGGTGTATTTGTTTAGTGTGTTTTCAAATGCTAGACGTGGTTGAGACTAGGTATCTCCTTCAGTACCAGTAGCACAAATAACCTCGAGCCAATATGACCAAAGTTGCAGATCGTTTACAGTAGATTAATGCCAAGAGACAAGATTTGAGGTAAATGTTGAGCCCATGATTATCGATTCTGATCGAACGTCTTCGTGACGCAGTTGCGTTCATGTTGTTGATGAACTTAGCGCATCCAATCACTGCGGGGTCACCACACAAAAGTTGGTCCTCGCACTAACGTTTTGCGCCTACTTTACCAATCCATCATCCCCAAGGCTACCATCTTTGACTCATTGGGCATCACTTCGACTCAGAACTCCACAGATAATCCTCTAAAGACTTTGAAATCCTGTTCAAAGGTTTCCTTTCGCAAAAATTTCGCGACTATTCACTAGATCGCTCAAAGATATGGCAAGAGGTGGTCGAGGCGGCGGTAGTCGCAATCCAGCCAATCAACCGAGAGAAGTGCAGGTCTCAAGGAAAGTTAGTTGGTTATTGAGACATGGTGCGAGTCAGGAGGGCTTAAAGTTGGGAAAGGGTGGGTATGTTAATGTCCAGGAAGCGGTAAGTTTGTTCCCAATCAACGCCCGGCGACGTTGAATATATGCTTAACATAAAGACATGACTTATCATATACATCAAGGTTTCGAATGATGTTATGAGTTCGTAGCTTAGACCACACGAAGAGCTAACGTTTTCAGCTAAACACCAAAACTCTGAAGAGCTTAAAAGTCACATTTCCTGAGCTGCGCGACATAGTCGCCAATAACGACAAACAACGCTACTCCATGATTCCAGCATCCTCACTCGACCAAGAGACACCTGGAACCACAGAGCTATCTCAAGAGCAACCAAACTCAGAATCGTTGGAAACTGTACCAGAATCAGACGACCCAGCCGACTACCTGATACGCGCGAACCAAGGCCACTCCATCAAAGTCGATTCAGAAGGCCTCCTCGTCCCCATTACCCAAGAAGCAGGCAATGTTCCCGAAACCGTTGTTCACGGCACCGACGAGCGCGCCTGGAATCTCATCCTAAAGAGCGGCGGTCTGCGGCGCATGGGACGGAACCATATTCACTTCGCATCTGGTCTCCCGGCAGGTTTCGAAGCACTTGACTCTTCCACTGATCCTACTGCCGAAGAAAAGGAGTCTGCGCCAGTCATCTCAGGCATGCGCAAGAACTCGTCGATTCTGATTTATATCGATATCAACGCTGCTCTTACTGCCGGCATCAAGTTTTTCGTCTCGGACAACGGTGTTATACTCACCGAGGGTAATGAGCAAGGCTTCCTTTCGTATGAATTCTTCAAGCGCGTCGAAAGTAGGAAGAAGGATGGTGGTGTACTGATGAGTGATGGGAAGTTACCCGAAGGCGTGACTGTGAATTTTGAAGAGTGGGAGAAAGAGGTTGGTGATGTGCAGAAGGGGAAGCGGGGTGGCAGGGGTGGTAGAGGTGGTAGAGGTGGAGGACGGGGCGGAGGCGCAAGTGGCCAAAAGAGTGGGATAAATGACGCAGGAGTTGCGGCGGCTGATGCTTAAGAAATTATGAGGGTGTTGCAGAAGGTGATATGAGCACCAGTTGTTGCCACAGTCAACAATCAACAACAGAATATGGACTACTCGCTGGCATGTCGAGTACAAGCCGCCATCCGTGCTGATTTGTGGATCCATAAGTGATCTATGACACAGGATTCGCTGGATGAGGTCAGTTCCTGTGATGGTTAATACCAGTCGATATCACTTCTAGAAATCCTTCGCACAGGCTTGGAGAGTATTTGAACTTGAATTATGATTGATTTCTTCGGCCGTTAAAGAGATTATAGTATGCGCGAGAGGTATATAACAGAATGCCGCCCAGTAAACCGGAACTCCAATGTAAACCCAAAGAAAAGGAAAAGAAATTTAGAAAACGTTCTTGCGTTGTGACTTTTGACTCCAGCCACTCAAACGGCTGGTTCTCTTGTTCTGCTTCTCCACATCGATGTTCGCATCCTGTGCTACATCAAAGTAATCCCTTGCAGCAATACCCTCACTCTGCAGCAGAGGGCTACTTGGCCTTGTCTGGCTGACATGGTGAGTGGGGGCGTGGTGAAGACCAGGAGAGTGGACATCCTCAGGTTCGGTAACGATCGCATAAGAAGCACCTCCAACATCGATGGCATCAGGGGACAAGGGCCTACCCTCGTCACCCTCGTCCATGCTGGCGCGGGACCGTGTGCCAATAGTGCGCACAGTCATTCGTCGACCAAGACCGCACTCCGGGTCAGCCTTCTCTTCCTCAAGGCGAATGACGACCTCGACAGCCTTGTCGTCTTCAATAACCTTGGGGTGACGCTTGGCGAAGTATTTGGCGTACTTGTACAGCGACCAGTAGCAGCTTGCGACATTGATAAAGGTCAAGACGATCTTGTACGGTAGGTAGTAGATGTACATGAGCTGCCAGCCAACACGCTCGTTCTTGCGGCGGAGGTGCACTTCGTTGAAGATGATGACGTTGATGAGGTACATAACGATTGTGGCGGCGAGAAGGTAACCGCAGAACGAGGGACGGACGTAGAACGATATAGGTAGGATGAAAGGTGTGAGAAGGTAGAGCAGAGTTTCGTAGACCTAGTGTGTTGTTAGTATGTTGGATGAGCGAAATAGACTGCGGATTGCTTACCTCTTGGAAGACGAAGATCTTTGCACCAATTTCCCACCAACCGAGCTTCCAGCTACCGAGAATGTATGCCATGTTGTACCACATGCCGTTGACGAAGAAGAAGTTCCAGCGCTTGAAACGTTGCGAGAAAATGGTCATCTCACCGAAACCACCACGGGAGCCACCGCCAGAGATGAAAACAGCGGTAGGTGTTTCGGTTTCAACAAAGACTTGCGAGCACATCTTGATGCGACATCCAAGCTTGCGGGCTACATGACCAAAGAACCAGTCTTCGGACACACTGAAGCCGGGGTGTTCGTGGAAGGTCTTGACAAGTAGCTCACGGTCCCAGAGGGAAATGGCTCCGTGTGGGAAGGTAGCGGAGCCGACCTTACCGGCAAACTCACGCTGAATACCACTGAGCTTGTACTCGAGATCCTGAGCTTGTTGGCAGAGGTTGCCCTTTGTAGAGTTTGGCCCGACGGATTTGATGGTGTAGCCAATGCACATGACCTTGCCATTCAAGCGCTCAGTGACAACAGGGAAGTTGTCAGGCAGCGCACAGTCATCGTCAATGAGCAAAACGTTCTTGAAATTCTTCGCAGCATAACAACCAACAAATTGAGCAACGATCTTCGATCCGATTGGCGACCAGATATGATTCACGCCGTAAGGACGGCAGACCTCTTCCGTGTTGTCGAGTGGCGTCGGGCTGTTTCCGTTGGCGATGACGAATATGTTCGATGGAGGGAAGATCTTCAGGGCAGCTTCGAGTGTGTTGGCAATGAGTCCAGCAGACTTATAGCACGGAATCATGAGGCAGGTATCGTCAACGTTGGAATGGAACTTGGTCTCTGTAGAGAAGTCGGCGGGAGGTGGATCCTTCTCGAAAAGGATGAGTAAAGGAGCGAACGCATAACTAAGGTATGTTAGTCACTGAAAAGATGGCGAGGGTGCTCTGACAAACTTACAATAGTGCGATTCCAAGCACGATACCGAAACCACCAGCGATAACGAACTTGGTGGATACAACCCAGTAAAGCCACCACACAGCACCGTTCCATAGAGGAACTCCGATCAAGACGAAGTAGACGAAGAGTATCAGGAAAGCATAGATGGCGTACTCAAAGGTGATTTGCACCCACTTCTTTCGTTGGATCTCTGCTCCCTTCTTCTTCGCCTTCTCGTAGGTGTCAAACATCTCACTCCTTTTGAAGTAGGATGCATTGGTCATGCTCCGCTTGAGAGCGTTGGGTACCATGCCATCGACAACAGACTGTAGAGTGTTCTTCCGGGGACGACCCGCGTGATGTGCGGCTTCAGGCTCCTGAGGCAAGGAATCTGTAGAGTTTCGGACCGAGTTGTTTTCAGTCGCAAAAGGGTTGTCTCTGCTGCTTCTGACTGAGTTGGGTTTCGTCGCGAAGGGGTCGTCATTGGACCACTTTGACTTTGTAGACGCGGTAGGAACTCTATTGAGTGAGCTTGGTGATGGTGCACGACTTCCTCGAGGGCTCAGAGCTAGAACATCGGTTGACCCAGGGATGTAGGAAAGGGTCCGGAAGGGTCTCAGGTTCTCCTCAGTTGGTGATGGTAGTGCCCCGCTCTGTTGCGAGTTTCTCTTTGCACCACTGTTGCTGAACCAGGAGAACCGGTTACTCCTCCTTCGTTCGCCATGCGTTTCTGTGCGTTCAAGGTTGGTAGAGCGCTGAGTACCGTTCCTTTGTGGGCCGCCAGAGTCTTGTGTGGGACGACGACGGATGCTTCCGATTCGTTCAGAGTCGAGGAAAGGGTTCTCCGCTTGTGGTTCCCAGGCTCCTGTGTGTGTAGTATGCGTGTTGTCGCGTTTTGATCCAAGAGTACCCGTGGCCCGAAGCAGATGTGCTGGAACGGTAACATCCTGAGTGGGGATGATCTCACTGGAACGTCGACGATGGTCTGCCATGTAGTGTGTCTCGTGAGTGCCGGAAGGAAGACCAGATGGAGAAGTCATGATGGGCGGTTGTTAACCCGAATGAGGGAGACTCCTGGGGTAGTTATGTCTGTAAAATACTGGACAGGGTGTACCCCATTAATACTCGGGAGCCAGTCTCCAGACCTGGTAGGACTTCTCTCTAGCCGGATAGTCGGACAGCCACATCGAGCGATCCGACTATGAAATCTCCTATGTGCCATTATCGGATCCACCTAGTAGTCTGTGGGTACACCCCCGGGCGTCGATCATCATGGAGTGCGACATGCACGTGTAGGAAGCATGTTGAGTATTGCGCCACAGACGTGGTCTACAGTGACGTCTAGGGCGAAGGCTAGATCTAGAAACTTCCCACGCCACTGAATCGCAACGGAGCTTTAGATACTAGTTCCCGTCGAGATTTAGCTCCAGGAATGATTTGCGTTTTTACCCTGTTCGGAGGACGGCGTCCAGAGTCTGAGGTGGTAGATCTTTGGTTGTGTTGCATCACTACGGCGTTTGGCGATATGAGCTGAAGAGTTGTCCAGAGCCCATAGCCCCTTAGGCATCTGGAGGCAAGAAATTCGGATTCGTATATGCGTTGCCAAACGTGAAGTCTGAAATCTATTAGCTAGTTTCATAGCGTTACCCTTGCAAGTCTCTTCACGTACTTGCACGGGCACAGAGCAACTGACAGATTGGACCTCTGCCAGCATCGCCGACAGATCCACAGTCCGTGTGATGCCAGAGCCTGAGCTATTTCAGTGGGTACCACTACTAGGAACGGTCACTAAACGGGTCTTGGGCTTGACAAGTATCTCCGGAGTAGTTCGAGACGTAGCCTGAGGCTGTGGCTGAGAACTACGAAATGGACAGGGTTCCGACCTCTGTGTATATCGAGTCATCATAGCTCGCATCAAGAAACAGTTGTAATCTCGATACCGCTGTCCCGCGCAAAGTCATCATAGGCGTTGTGATCTACGGTAGTTGCGATCGAAGTTCAAACCTAAGATTCTAAATCGGACACATGCATCCTGAATCTGTCCGGAAGCAGCGTCCGAAGAGATTTTTCATCTCATTTTCGGTGAGTTGGACTTCTTTGGGTCCACGGTATTAACCGTGATGACAACACATCCATGCCTCGGTGAAAGCTTCGCTGCGCTTGCGCAGGTACTCCGGGTGTTGTTGAGGCCGCGACCGTGACCGAGGGCAAAGTAGGCGAGAAGACATGGTAACCTTGCGGAACGATCCCAAGGGTGCTTTACTATTACGCAACTGCGCGGGACTTCGCGCTGGAAGTCGGCGTCTCTTTTGAACGGTTGGCGCTACTATAGTGTAAGATGTCAGTGCCGCTCGGGTACCACAGCCTGAAGATGTTCGAGGCTGACGCTGTTATGATGACAGTACCCCTTGCCAAGGCGACGATGAAGTCAGTTACACAAGATTTCTATCATGAACTTTGAAGCTGGTAAACTGACGTGAGTCGCACGAATGAGTGTATGTGGAGAACAACTGGATGTTGAAGTTGGAAATTGCAGAACGCCGTTCCCGCCCGGCCCGCCGCCGGGGGGCGCTTGTCATTCGTTACGTCAGGCAAGCAATACGAGATTTAGAAAGCAAGCCTTCGCTGGACGTTTGACGAGCCGCAACAATAGACACCCTCAATCCATGATCCCACACATCACTAATCGAACACGAAATGACTTCCTACGCGTCTCAATACCCGCCGGCTGTTGAGTTTGACCCTGCATACAAGAAATTCTTCGAGGATTTCTACGCTACGTCCGATACGGCTGAAGCGCATGAGAAATACGTCGATTACTTCACTAAGGATGCGACGCTCGTCATGGCCTCCAAGAGGGTAGCGGGCCGAGAAGGTTTGTCTCAGTTGCTTTTTCCATCCAGCCCTGAGATTCAATCCGCGCCTTGACGTTTCAATCCCCTTATACCTTCTGCGAGGCTGATTCTTGGCTGCAGAGATTCTGTCCCTGCGCAAAGCCATGTGGGAAAAGATTTCTAGCAGGGCGCACAAGCCACTCCAGATATTTCCGTTCGGTCCGAACGCAGACGAGGTAATGCTATATGGAACGGTCAAGTACGGCTTCAAGGCAGGGGGTGAGTCTAGCAAAGACTGGGCTGCAAGGGCGCACCTAGTCAAGGAAGCAGATGGCAAAGTGAAGATGGATTTTTATCAAGTCTACTTGGTGCGACACCCAGCGCTCGTCCGCGTTCGTGTATGCGGATTGAAGCTAACATTCGTCTTAGGACACCGGAGCTTAGACCGAGCCCGTAGATCTTATGTAGATCCGATGCCAACTATAGGGGCTTCTACGGCATCTATAGTGTTGGAAACGTTCGTCATACCGGAGGTCCCATACTTTGTGAAAACTGTCTCGGTGCTTACTGTGGTACGCACCTAAATGGTGCAAAGTCCAAGGGGCGCCTCATCTCTGAACATGAGGCTATGCAGGTACCAGGTCCACGATGCTCTGAAACACTCGATGTGGAACTACACGAACTCTACTTTGGAGTAGTGAGTTGAACTGTAGATTGACATGTGGGACTAATCCTGTTCGCTCGGATGTGACGGCTGTCATGGGACGGACGACTCATCCCTGTAGCTCATTGGGAACTGTCATATAACCCAAGAGTCCTACGTGTGACTGTCGTGAGTTCCTTGTGGTTGTCCCATTCTCAGTTCATCTCAGCGACATCATGCAGACATCTCAATCGCCATCGTTAACTAGGGTCCAAGGAAGATAAACATTGCTTTTCCTTCAACGTGGCGTTTTCTCCGCGATATTCCAGTTCTTTGACGCAGGAACTGTCCTAGGGTCTTTGTCACGGAGTTTAAAAAGTTGTTTTTCCTCTTCAGCTCCCGATTTCCAGCGAAGTGGTCTAGACGCGGAAACAAGCATCAGTCACATCTACGTAAACGTGGTTCAGAAGGATTGGGACCGATGTTGTGTCGGCGTCGCAGCGGCATGCCGGACCCTATGCTACCAATGCTGCCAGGTACGCGGGTTAACGGGTTCTGCTGCGCCAGCGCTATACGATGGCCTCAAAGATTCCAGTACGAGGCGCAAGCAGGGTACGTGGCCACCTCGTTTGGCGCATCTAGGCCTCGTATACTTCTTTCAACGCCGCACACTTGATCCAGGCTGTGTCTTTAACGACAAGTTTGCGAACCCCGCAACGCCGCCGAAGTGGATAGACCCCATTTCAGCCGTCGTATACTCAAATACAAATCGTCCGATCGTCCGATCAAGGGTGCCCAGGTGAGTTCCTTTGGCTACGCGGTGTACATGATGATTGCTGCAACGCAGAGTGACTTTGAATCGATCAGTGTCCCAAAAACCGCAACGTAAGGGAGGTGATGTAGTCCAAATTCTTGCATCACCTGTACCAATCGTCCCGTCCCCCATCAATGTTTTCGCGATCGAGTGGTGACCCTGCTGACGTGATATTTTGGGGACGGCATCATTGATCGTGCTGGTCGGGTCGCTAAAAGTATAGGGTCCGCGGGCGTCTTGGGCCCGAAGTTCCCCCAGCAGCAGCAAGGGATATGGTCAGGGAACACTGATGTAAGCGATGTGATACACGATGTATAGGGGCAATAAGGAAGGGCAGGTCAAGCGCATTCGTTCAAACTGCCGAGCATTAAATTCCAACCATGATGTGTGGAGTTGCAGATTTTTGAAGTTGAGGTTATCGGATAAATGTTCAGACCCCACGGCCATATGCGGCCACCAACATTAGCCCCGCACGACCAGAAAGATTATTCTTGAACGCAGCATTACACTGCGTGAGAGATGCATATCTTCAGTCTATAGATTTATCTATCTGTCGTCTTTCCATCAACAGGCTTAAAACCAGCCCGGCTAGCTCAATCGGTAGAGCGTGAGACTCTTAGTCTTTCACGGTCTAACAGACACGATTACTCAGTACATCTCAAGGTTGTGGGTTCGACCCCCACGTCGGGCTTGAGAAGCTTTCCTTTTTGTTGTCGCCGTGTACATGTGTGTGGGGTGGTCGTCTTGGTGGTGGATGATGGATGAATGTTTTTGGCAGTGCCCTGCTTACCACGGCCGCATGTCCCGCCTAATGACATTCCCGAATGTACATTATTTTCACAGTCAACGGCTTCTCAGTTATCCTACAGCCCAGGGTTGTTGTATTACGTGATGCTTTTTGTGTCCCCGCCGAGATCATAGCCTTGGATCCTATGTCCACAGAGATGTGCCAATAACTAACTATACAGCGCACAGTATCTGTCGAGCCAATCGCTTTAAGTGGAAGTATTACTTCGACAATTAGTCCTTCGAAATCTGCATAAGATTGTCCGTCTCCAAAACCCCGGCGCCATATCACAAACCTAAGCAACGAAAAGTCTGGCTTTATTAAACCTGATCTAGAAACAACTCTTCCTTCACCAAATCGAAGTACTATATATGTTGTCCAAAGGGCATCTTTGCAGCCTATACATAATGTCACTGCTCTGTTACCACTGAGAAGAAAAAATCGAAAAGTGTTAGAACACACCTACACAACCAATCTCATTATCAATCCCTTTGAACACCAGTATCACATGAAAGCCAAACATCAGTGAGTACGTTGGCATCTTTGTAGAACGTTTGTAAGCCTCGAACATATACACACCAACGCTTCATCATCCCATCACCTTATGACCTGTTTTCCTCCTTGTTCTCATTCCGCTCTCCACCACCACCTATGGTAAACAACTCCTATCATCCTTCTCTCCTACCAGCACAGGAATCGTCAACATTTCACCCGCAAGTATCAGATTTGGATCCTGAATTGCATTCGCCTTGGCGATATCGCAGATGCCCACTCCATTCGCCGCAGCAATGATCTCAAGCGTATCACCCGGGTTAATAGTAACTTGTTTTCCTGTCCCTACATCTGCGGAGGTAGATGGGGTTGCTGGTGAAGGAGCCGATGCTGAAGCTGAAGCGGATGAAGCGGGTAGGGATGCCGAGCCGATCGAGGTTGCGAGGGTGGTTGGTAAAGCTGATGGTGTT